GATCTGCTAGAAGCCTCATCAACTAAAAAGCTGCATGAAGACCCTGGCTTGTCGGGGTGACAATTTCCTTTCTCAGACACTAGAATAAAGCAATAAATAGTTGTTTAACTGAACAGAAGGGGCAGCTATTACCATGGGCCCCAATTCCAATCAATAAGGCAGAAGTGGCTAGGAGACGGGACCATTCTGTGCCAGCCAAGGAAAAGTCTGGACACAGGTAGCTGTGTTCCTCAGAATTCATAAAGGGAGAAGTGATTCCAAGACTTGGGAAATGGGCTCAGACACCATAAGGACGTGGAAGGGCTGTGACTCAGAAGACACAACTTAGCTCTCAGCCAGTATGTGAAAGGTTGTCGCATGAGATTGGACTTTTTCTGTAGGCCCTAAGGGCATCGATGGGGCCAATGAGTGGAAAAGCACAGGAAGACGGTCTCAGATTGTTACTGGGAAGGGTTTCCTAACAGTCACGCAATCTCGAGGCAGAATGGGCTGCCTTTAAAGGCAGAGAGTTAAATGCAATCTGGATATTCAATAAGTGGATGCTGGACAGGTATTCCAAGCACAGAAGATGATGTGACTACTGTGGCATTCCCACACTTGAGTGGTGAAGTCAACCATGAGGTGTGTTGCAAGTGATCTGTTACAGCAATAAACGCTGAAATGTATGATTTACTATCTTTCTGCATTAGAGTCCATTCTGGGTTATCATTACTACACCACTCTAACTCACTGCAACAGTGAAAGGGTTACAGGTTAACTTTTGTGCACTGGGGAATGCTCCCAGGAGTGTCCCACTGCCATGTGTTTAACGGCTAAAAAAGGTGGAGAATTACTGGGCAAGATGACAGACTGGCTCCCTTCTGAAGCTGCAATTCCACGAGGGAGGTGGCACGGCCTGCCTCAGCTTTCCAAACTAACAGTGATCTGCTGGAGAACAGATAGTCATTTCTTTTGGGTAGAACTTAGCTGCAGAACTGTAATGTCTAAGTCTTGTACTTGGTAGAAGACGCTGGTGAAGGTAACAGGCCTTTGGAGCCCATCTAACGTTACAGAAAGGGAGACTGAGGACGAGGGACATTACAACTGTCCCCGTACCTTATTTCTTACACACCAGTCATTCAGCTCAACGGGACTACAAGAACGTTAAATCTTTACCTTTTCTTTAAATAAAAATCATTACGATGACATAAACATGCCAGAAGACATTATTTGCCCTTTGAATTATTAAACATTTTTTCCCTCTAAGAAAAAATTGTCATCAACTGGTAACTAACCCTCCCCGATCCAAACTGGAACCGACTTTCAGTTTTCATCTCCCGGGATAATGGCCCTGGCACGACCTTCTGTCACAAAGGCCAACTGTAAAAGTGCCACCATAAAAACTCCTGACCGACCAGCTCAGCCTTCTCAGCCTCTCCCGACCCCCTTGCCATGTCAGTTTCTGCCTTTGCCAAATGGGCAGACGTGACTGGTTCCCCTGGAAGGGAGGGTGACGAAGCCCAGGAAGGTGCCTGTCACCCGACGCAGCGTGCTACTGGGCAGCCCGCGATTTTTGGCACCTCGTAATTTTTTTTTATTATTATTATAAAACTATTATTGCATTATAAAAATTTGGAAGCTAGAGAAAAGTGCGAAACATGCATGACTCCATCAGCCTAATAAAGTCACTGTTAGCACCTGACTTTTCTTCTGGGCTGTCTTTGTATGGTTATACAGGCTGCACACACTTAGCTTATTTATACCCTACCTCTAGCGGTGCAGTGATTAAGGCACTTGTCTGCTAACCAAAGGTTGGTGGTTCGAACCCACCAGCTGCTCTGCAGAAGAGAGAAGAAGCAATCTTGCTTCTGTAAAGATTTACAGCCTTAGAAACCCTATGGGGTTGCTGTGTCAGAGTAGACTCAATGGCAGTGGGTTTGGTCTTTGATCCTCTGAAAAGGACTTGCAGGGGCTTATAGAAATGCGTATCGCCAGACAGACAGCTCCATGTTGACAAACCAGTGTGTCCTCCTATTTCTAACATTCCATCTGCCAGGGTGCAGCTGCCAGGGTGCCCATCCTGGGCTCCTCTCCCTCAACGCCAACATCCATTTCCATGGATTCTTCTTTCATTAGTTACCAGATGCCACTGGAACCCTGGTCTGCTGGTAGATGGGCTGCGACTGTTCCATCTCCAGCCCAGCTCCTCACTGCCCACCCCTCCAAACCAGCGCAGGGTGCCTCTGCCTTGTCCCGCCTCCACTCCACTTTCCCTCAGCTGGAACTGCTGTCCCCGCTCCCTTTCCTTCCTCATTCTGACCGCTCTTCTGTTGAACAACACCTGCTGGCTCCCTCTGGCCTGACAAAGAAAAAGCACTCTTTGGTCTGAGACTTACAGACTTGAACATCTGTCCCCCATTCAGCTTTCCTGTCATATCTTTCATCATACCATTGCCTGATGTGAAATGCAACACGTGGGCAGGACCCACACATACTCCTTGGTGTCCCTGCAAGGAGAAGGGTTCCAAGGAAACTGAGATGTGGTAATAGGTATGTGATTTACTGCTGGCCACTGGCAACCATCAAACAGGGCAAAAATCAATGAATGCTGCCTGCAAGCACTTAAGACAACACCCAGAGCAGGGCTGTGATCCTGGAGGGAAGGAAATCCAGGAGGCAAGGGCCACAGTCCCCTGGCTTTTCAGACTGTGGCTCAGGAAGTGGAGTCCACCCAGGGAGCAGGCTGGCCCACATTTCTGCTAGAAGCAGAGATGGCTCAGAATGTGAGAAACTGGCCCAGTCTTTGCCTTTTTATTTTAAATTGTGATTTGGGTCAAAGTTTACAGAGTAAATTGGTTTTCCATTCAACAACCCACACACATTTTGTTTAGTGACGCCGAATGCAGTCCCCACACTGGAACGATACTCTTCCTACTTCCTCCCTGTGGTGGTTCTGTTCGTGTGTCAACGTGGCTGGGCCTGGCTGAGTGGCTGGGCAGCTGGAGGTAGTTATTCCCCAGGATGAGCCTGGCAATCAACTCCATGGTGGGATCTACCACAAGCAGCTGAGTAGCTGCCTTTGGGATGTGGTCTGCTTCCTACATTTAAGGAGAAGCCTTGGGAATGGTCTCTAGCCTATGGCACACTTGTCATTGCTCAGCAGCCTGCTATGCTCTGCTGACCTTGGGACTTACAATGGACTTAAGTTAATGGCCTGCCATGTGGTTTGGTAACATCAGGACTGTGCCTTTTTACTTGTTGACCCTGGGGCTTCTCAGCCGCAGCAGCCAGAAGCTGTCTGAGTGAAGAAACGCCTCTAGCTCCAGTGGGCCGGGAGGAGGAGGCAGAGCTGGACCCCAAGGTTGAAGGGCTTTCTCCCAGTCCCTAGAGCCTGGCACTTTCAACTTGGACTTAAAGCCTCCAAATTGTGAGAATAAACTCCATTCCTATTTGTGGCATATTCCTGTCAGAGCGGCACCAGGGAACCAGAGCACTCCCTGAGGTCACCATTTCGCTTCGTCCTTCTTCCCTACCCCTTCCTGCCTTCGGAGCTTTATCCCTGGGCAGATGCTGCCCTCTGACCTCGTAAGGTTGGTTGTTCTAATGAGTGAGTACCTCCCTGGTATTGCTGTTCTCCTTACAGGCCTGTCTATTGTTTGGCTGAAGTTGAGTCTTTCCTTCTTTAAGTATGCTGCTCCACCTTGGGATTTTAAAAATACATGATGCCTATAAACTCGCCCTAGGAACTTTTCTCTCCTGTGCTTCATCTTTTCAATTTTCTCTAGTTGAAAATACTGTACTATCCTTCCAACAGCCTCCAGGAGGACTACTAGCTAAAGAAAAGAAAAGTACCTATGGGCCGTGACGCTTGCTGCCTCTCAGGCTTCTATCTGCTAAGCCCCCCTTCCGAAGACAGTATGGGAGAGCTCACGTGCCGAGCCCGCATCACGCATCATGTAGAGGGGCCCCCTCTGCAGTGGACCACCAACACTGCCATGACAGAAACTGCAGAGGTGGCCCCGCCATGCACAAGCTGCCAGAGGCCGTGCTGGTGCCACAGTCATCTCTGAAAACGACCTATGCCCAAAGCAGCACTCAGCCACCCGCCAGGAGGGAGGAGCCTGAGAGGGGGAGGATGTGGCTAGAGATTCAAGTAGCATGTTCGGAAGGTGCCAGAAAGTGTGGGGGACGAGCCTGCTCCTCTCACACCCGACGCTTTTCCTTTGAGGGTCAACTGGCGCTCCCCCTTTCCTCCAACTGTAATTCTCAAAGCTTGGACAAGCTAGGCCTCAATCCCACTATTTCCTGTTTAGATCCATCCTAAAACAGCATTTAAAGGGTCCCTAAGGCCTCTGGGAGCATAGTGGCTAAGGCACTTGACTACTAACCAGAAGGCTGGCAGTTCAAAACGCACCACTCCTCAGAAGGAAGATGGGCGATCTATTTCCGTAGTGATACCGCCTCAGAAACCCAAGGAGGGGTCGCTATGAGTTGGGTCCAACTCGATGGCACATAACAACAACAACAATGCTTTGCCTTTTGCAACCTGTCGGACAGATGAAGGCCTGCTGGGAGGAGGCCAGGCTTCTCCAGCTCAGGCCTTGGGGGGCATCTGTCAGGAGAGGGGTCCCTTTAGCCCACTGTGGAGCACGCCCACTAGGCCCCCTTCAAGCATCCCGCTCTTTTGTCAGATTCGGGTAAAGGGCCCCATGCCTTAGACTGACACAGGATCTCCCTCATGGGCCAAAACCTGACATTAATTCTGCCCTCACTGCTTCCTCTCCTGAGGCCTGAGAAGAGTCCTGATGAGAGGCAAGTTCTTATTCTCACCCTCACCAAACTCACCACGGAAACACAATCTTTAGGCCAAATATGTGTGCAGAACTCAGGAGCCTTTGGCAAGTTCAGAAGCCAAGTAAGCCCAACCTTACGTATTGTGCTGCCCGGGAAGCACTGACAGGGCAGCCAGGCCAACCCCGCGGACTGCCTGATACCCAAAGCGGTAGAGATTTCTGTCCTACCATCAGTAAGCGGCTTGCAGGAGAGGGCGTCATCGAGGTCTCGCGCAGTGGACGGGTCGATGGTGAAGACACAGGCCTTTCTAGGAGAGAGTGGAGACACCATCAGCTGTGCCACAAACAATCTGACCCTCATCCCATCAGACCGTAGCTTGAAGAACTTTCTATTTGCCATGTGCTCTGTGAGGCGAGGTGAAGGGCAATGTCTGCCATGTCACCCTGGGAAGGGGACTGTAGTGAACGCTGAGACAGGAGAGAGACAACACGGGCAAAAATGACAGGGCCCACACTGTGAGGGGGTCCTTTTCCTCGTTTGCAAACTGGCACTGACATGCTCTGGACCCAGCGCACGAAGAGGTATGAGCTGGTGAGTGGAAGTTCCATGCAAGAGGCCCCCCAGAATAGGGGTCTGAGAAGGGGGCAGTCTCTTTGGAAAATCACCCCAAGTTCTTCTTGCCTCCCCCTTCCCCAGCGGCTGATGGGACTCTGTCCCTGGAGGATCTATATGAGGACAATCCATGGTACCTTCTCCTGTCTCATAAAATGGGATCTATTGAGAACATAGCACCTGACTTCTGACACAGGGGACAGGAGCCAGGAACACATTTTGCAAAATCCTCCAGGCCACGCACATAGCCGTGATACAGTTCTATGGAAAAACAGGCCTAATTGTAGTTTGTGTCTAAGGAACAACATACCCTCTACCCAGACTCCTACCACCAAGTCCACTCTGGGCCCATTTAACTTTGCAGTGTTCCCTTGACATCTCCATCGGCGAAGCGCCGGCCAGTCTCATTTTGCCTCATGGTTTCCTGTGTAACGCACCGCACCCAGCCCGCTCATTCACTTGGGTGGAGTCTGCCCTCAGTCCTCTTTCCTGCCCAGGTCCTGGCCTGTGGGGAGCAGGGCTCTGCAGCCGCTGCCCTTCCTCCCTGGCTCACAGGCTTGCAGTCGGCCCCCAGAGCCCTAAGTTCTTCCGCTTCACCCAGCCCCAGCAGTGCCGCTGCCACACCGCCCCCCAACAGCACCGAAGGCATGGATCCTTGGTGCCTGCCATGGTCAGGTCTCCCTTGTTCTAAAAGCCTTTCCTCACCACCCTCCTCTGTTCCCAACTTCCCCAAAGACCTCAGGGGCTGTCAGGCTGCTGTGATGCTGCCCGCAAGGACCTCAGTCCCTTCTTTCTTTTTTTATTGTGATTTGGGTGGAAGTTTACGGAGCAAATTCACTTTCCATACAGCAGCTCACATACACTTTGTCTCATGACATTGACTGCCATTTCCCACCATGCAACAGCTCCCCTCCCACTTCCTCCCGATAGTTACCTCTTCCCTGTGTCCATCCCTCCATGCACTCCTGCCCCCTGAGCTGTCTCCCTGTGCATAAGCAGCCCTTCT